AGTTTTATGTGTAAGACCGGGCATGAGTTTTCATACAAGGAAGTTTCCAAAAGGCTTGCAGGGTGCCATGGTGAGTTTCAAGAGAGTTTCTTGCCACAGATCCTCACTAGTGGGACATGGCCCTTGTAGGAATTCTCCAATTGCAGTGACTTATTTTTCCTAGGCAAGATCTAAAGATGACTCCTTTGCAGAGCTGTTAATCTGGAGATAAAGCCCAGGGGCATCTCTGTCCATCAGGGAAGGGTCCTGTTGCTTCAGCAAGGAGGTCACACACCCAAGAAACCATGGGGTGGCTCACCAGAAACCAGAGATGAGTTAATATAAGATAGAGGGAAGGGTTCATTGTAGGTAAAGTCTAAATGGATTATTAGTTTTCACAGGTTCAGAGCCAAACAAGGCCATGTGGATCGTGGTTGCTTCATGCCTGGGCTGAGAGGCAACTCAGGGTCTCATTCTTTAAAGGGAAGATGAATGCTGTGTCCCCAAACCTTTAACCTGTGAGTAGGAAATTGAGGCAGTGTCGTTCCGGGACAGTGCATCACTTCCTCAGGCAAGAAGGGGTGCCCCAGTCCTACAGATAAGGTTTTGAAGAGCAAAGCCCTTCACATCTACTACTCCACAAACTCAGGTGTTGTCAGCATGGAGCCCTGGCTGTTAATGGGCAGAGGCCGTTGTTCCCAGTTCCCTTCTCCTGTGGACGGGGTGGGCGCCATGGCTTCTGATGGTCACCCGGCTCACACCTCGGTCACACCTGTCCTCAGAAGGGGACTAGGGCTGGGTCTAATGCTGTGCTCCCCCACTGACACTTTTAGCAGTTTTTTCTTTGAACTTGTCCCACACTTATATTTTGCAATGAGCCTTGCTCAGTAGCTGGCCACTTGTATTCAAGTTACCACTTTGAGTTCCCCTAAACAAACCCTCCAGGTAGGTATGACCCAAGTTTTATACAAGATGGTCCTGAGGCCATGGTATACAAGAAAGCCATGTCTGAGGCCACAGGTAAAACTGACTTAAAAAGTCTATTAAAATTGGCTGCAAATCCAACAAAAAGTTGTGTCCAAGGCCTCAGCAAGCTAAGTGGCAGTGGTGTAAATTGGAGCAAATCACCCTCTCTTCACAGGGTCTTGCCTGCTGCCTGCAGTCAGCAAAGGGTCCTGAGCACTTCACCAGGGCCTTCTCCTGTAAGGTGAAAGCTAGCATAGTGCTGTCAAAGGCCAGCTATCAGGTGCTGATGAGACCGGAAGTGGGCGGGCACAATCTCTAAAAGAATGACAGGGACTTCCCTGGTGGTCCAGTCGTTCAGAATCTGCCTTGCAACACAGGGGATGTGGGTTCAGTCCCTGGCCTGGGAACTAGGATTGCACGTGGAAGAAAGAAAGTGAGGTCTCTCAGTCGTGTCCGACTCTTTGCGACCCCATGGACATTGGCCCACCAGGCTCCTCCGCCCATGGAATTTTCCAGGCAAGATTACTGGAGTGGATTGCCATTTCCTTCACTTGCAGTGCCATGGGGCAAGTAAGCCTGTGTGTTGAGATGAATATCCTGCACACCCCAACTAAGACCTGAAGTAAATATATATTTTTAAATCCCTTTGAAACACGGCAACTAGGTGACACAGGCAGAGGCACCATGACAGTTCCAAGGCTGACCATAAAGGTCAAAAAGTGGGTGCTGACCCAGTTCCTGGAAATCCCCACCCTTTCTGCAAAATAGCTGGCACACTCCTCCCACTCATCAGCCTATTAAATGACCCCCCTATAAACACTGACAGCCCCATACCCTGGTTCTGGGTTTGCCTTCCAGGATGGCCCACACTCTCTGTTTTGAGTGTTTTCGACCTGGATTGACCTTCTTTCACTTCACCTTGTCTCATTCTTGAATTCCTGCCTATGCATAGCCAAGTACCCACACTTCGCGGACATCCCAGGGACTCGGACATGACCTGGGATGTGACCATCCTCTCTCACCCCACTCTCTTGCCCTCAACACAGCTGCGGTCTCCTCCAGCCTCAGAGATCCCTGGAGCGTTAAAAGAACACCGTCTTTTCAGGTTGTTCATTGTTTCCTGTGCTGTGCAGAAGTTTTCAGTTTGATGGATCCTACCGTCTAGCTTTGTTTTTGGGGCTTGTGCTTTTGGTGTCAAGCTCAAAACCATCCTTGTGGAGACCCATGCCAAAGAATTTTTCTTCTATGCTTTCTTTTAGGAGTTGTGTGGTTTTTGTAAACCTTTACTCTATCTTGCGTTGAATTTTGTATATGATACAAGAGATCTTACTTGATCAACCAGGGACGGAACTTGTGCCCCCTGCATTGAAAGCTAGGGATCTTAACCACTGGATTGCCAGGGAAATTTCAGTTGTAATTGCTAATTTGTCTGTTTCTCCGCTTATTCCTATAAGTTTTCTTTAAGAATTTTAAACTTCCTTTGCTAAGTACATTCTGATTCAGTATTCATATGTATTCTTGATGAATTAACATTTTATCATTAGGATAAATACCCCTCTCTATATCTGGTCCTTGTCCTAGAAGTTACTTGATTGTGTGCCATGCTTAGTCACTCAGTCGTGTCTGACCCTTCGTGACCCCATAGACTGTAGCCTGCCAGGCTCCTCTGTCCATGGGGATTCTCCAGGCAAGAACACTGGAGTGGGTTGCCATGCCCTCCTCCAGGGCATCTTCCCAAACCAGGAATCGAACCCAGGTCTCCCGCATGGCAGGCAGATTCTTTACCATCTGAGCCACCAGGAAGCCTGTCAATTAACCAATACAGCCTCCTTTGTTTTCTTTAAATTAATGTTTCCACAGCATATCTGTTGTGTCAACAGTGAAGAATCTGCCTGAGATGCAGGAGATGCAGAGACATGGTTATGATTCCTGGGAGGGGGAGATTCCCTGAAGGAGGGCATGGCAACCCAGTGCAGTAACCTTGCCTGGATGATTCCATAGGGGTCACAAGAGTGTTGGACACGACTGAGCGTCTAAACAACAGAAACAACATATCTGTTTCCATCCTTTCATTTTTAATCCTTTTGCCTTTATATTTGATATCTCAAGTGGGTTTTTAATAGATAATTAATACGTGATTCTTGCTTTTCTTGTTTTTTTGGGTTTTTTTTAACTGAAATAACCATCTCTTTCCTTAAGATAGTGTCTAGAATCTTAGCATCACAGTTTATCCCATAAGGCTGAACCAAAATTCCAAGTAGTATCATAGACTTCATTTTTTTAGAGCAGTTTTAGAATCGAATGAAAACCACAGTTTTCCCCTATCATTTCAGCAACTCCAACAGTCCACAGAGGGCAAAGAGTCAGACACAACTGAAGTGACTTGGCACACAGGCACACAGCCCTGATCCTGACACCTGTTGCTGGTTTTCTGTCCAGAAGTGAAGATGTCTGCACTCTCTGAATTTTGACCCCATTCTCTTCGACTCAGGAGAATTGTTGGCCTGTTTGGGTTCTTGTTCCCTATGCTTTAGGCCTGGAAATCTGTAGAGGCTGGAGATGCCATAAGTCTCACTTCACTTGTTTACTTTTCTTTGTTTTAAATGGTTGAGCACAGATATTTTTACAATTTAATTAGCTAATTCATTAATTTGGCTGCCTTGGACCTTAATGACAGCAGGCAGAATCTAGTTGAAGCATGTGGGATCTAGTTCCCTGGCCAGGGGTGGACACAGGCCCCCTGGGTTGGGAGCAAAGAATCCCAGCCCCAGACCTCCGGGGAAGTCCCTCACCTCACCTGATTTCTGCTCTCCTCAATTACGGTCCTGCATTGCTTGTGCCAGAGTCTGAATCAGCGGTTTCACAGGTTTTGCCTGGTTCCTTAGTCGTGTAATGTAGAAGGGCAGCATACAGTCCCATCGCGTCCTTTTTTTTTTTTAATGCTGAATGTGGGGTCCAAGCTCTTGTCTTTGAGTGTCTGCCCTTTCTTCCTGAGAACTCAGTTCCTTGACTGGGGGCTCTTGTTGGGGGTGATGGGCCTGCCACCACATTTGCTGGAATCATTCTATATCAACCTCCAGAGACCACTGAACAGTTACAGGGCCTTGGAACGTACTTCAGCTCACATAAGGGAGGACATGGCAACCCACTCCAGTATTTTTGCCTGAAGAATCTTATTGACAGAGGAGCCTGGTGGGCCCCAGTCCATGGGGTCACAATAAACACTTGTTGAGCAGCTTTTGTGCCAAAAAACACTTGGGCCAGGAGTGATTAAGTGATGAAGTGCCCTTCAACATCCTGCAGCCAAATATGGAGATTGGAAATATGCAAATGTCCTGAATGTAAAAATCAAGCAGAACTCAGAGATGGAGCACTCAGGTCAGAACCCTTTTAAAGGAAACATCATATTTGTTGGGGAAACAAATATGTGTTTTTAAGAAGGAGGTAGAATTTGAGGTGCCCCTGAGAGATGGGTTTGGAGACATAGCTGGAGGAGAGATTTTATCCAGGCCTGAGGTCAGTCAGAACAGAGGCAAGAGTGAGAGGAAAGCTGAAGGCAAGGTGGAGGAGGAGCCAGGTCCCCGTGTCTCTGAGCTGGAAAGTGCTCAGAGGACCTGGGAGACCCTCAGGGAAGCCCTGAAGGTTCAGAGATGGATTTGCTGGGGAGATGCCATGACAGATGGACAGACTGCACAGCTCAGATGGGTGACAGAAGGCTAAGGAAATGTTTCAGAAAGAACAAGCGGTCCAGTGTCATTGTGGGGTGAAAGTTGTGAAAGAGGAATAAAATCTGAAAATCTTTGGGACATCAGCTGAGACCCTCGTGTGGTTTCCTCTAGGGATTATACTTTATTTGAATTAAAGGTGAGTCATTAACACTTTCTAAGTTGCCTGTTTGGTAATAACTAGCACAATAAACAGAATGTTAAAAAATAATCATTATAATGATCAAGCTTTTAATTTTTTGTAAAAAGTCTTTAATTTGATTTGGCTTCTGGAGTCTTCAAGGAGGCATTTTCACACTATGCAACATTCTCCTTGTGTTTCTGGATTTTTCATTTCTTCTTCTGGCAGCATGTTCGGCAACTCGGGAACAGCGGCCTATCTGTTCCTCCTTTGGAAGGCAGCTGATCAGAGCACACCGGCCGCTTCTTCTTTTGCAGTAATACTTTCATAACCCGCTTATGATTCCGCTTTTGCCTGCGGTGAAGAAATGGAGCACACGGAAGGTTTTAGGAAGGCCGCGGTGCATGTCCAAAGCTTTTGATATCTAATAAGTTATCTGTTGCCATTTTCTGTTCTTTTATGTCTTTTTCCTCTTTCTTTACCATCTGGAGTAAAGAAGAAGGTGGGGCTAGCTACTAACAATGATTCTGTGGGTTTGGCTCAGCTGAGAAAGTTGCATGACAGTGGTAGCCCTCTTGTGAACTGACACCTGGGAGGCAGGGTCCACGATGGTCCCCCAAGTCCTTAAGAGGCTGAAAGAATGTACCTGCAACCACTAAGCTAATAAAGGGGAACCTGTGCTTCTCTCCTCAGATTAAGTTCATTTTTCCTCTTGGTATTTAAGATTTACATCACTTTCTTCCTGTCTCATGAACAGGTATAACAATCCTCCCATGGAGGGATGGTTTGTGAGCTGATTAGTCTCTTAAGAGTGAATCAGAAGGGATGGTGACCCTACTTTGAGCTTCTTGATGGTCTTTTTCAAGAAAAAAAAAAAAGAAAAACTGGTAATGTCTAGTTCCCAAGCAATAAATCTCCTTTATCTAAAATTCCCAAATGAATGGAGACAGCTGACTCTGACTGACAAATTCTCAATCCATTCAGCCCTGTCATTTCCCAGCACTTCTTACCTGGAAGAGGCAGCAAGAACAAGAAGAGGTACGCAAGAAAGGTAGTAGACCCTCATGGTTGGCTGGCTTCCCAGGTGAGACTGGACAGGATGGTGTGCTTGCTCAGTTTATAAAGGCTGCAGGTCCGCAGCCATAGGGAGAAGCATTCAGCAGCTGCAATTCCTATAATATTACAGTGATGACAATATGATGTATTTCCTTCAGCTTCATGCCAAGGTCCCTTACAAAGCAGACCACGCCCATTCCCACCAGAAGTTAATTACAAACCTCAGGGAGACTCAGAGCCTGATGTGAGCACAGGGCTGTTCTGATGCCTCTGAGTCTGGGTGCTTGTGTAGGGCTGGCTCATGGCTGGCTGTCTGAGATGGGAAAGACCTGCCCACTCCTGGATGCAGTCTTGGGGTGTGTATCTGGGAGCTCACCTGTGCCCACTGTGGTCTTCTAAGCTTTTGCCTTCTTCCTAAAGTCCTGGGAGAGTCTGAGCCCCATCAGTCCAGTCCAAGGCTGGTGTATTCAGAATCTAGGTGTAGACTGGGGCTGGGCCATGCCTTGAGCCTGCACGGATACTGCCAAAATGGAATCAGCTTTTCAGTAGTATGGGAAGGGAAGGAAAGTGGGCTGCATTCCAGAGACTCTGCCCTGTGTTCTTGGCCTGTGATGGAGTGCAGCATCTCAGGTCAAACACAGCTTATACTTGACTGTGGTCTGAAAACCACCAAATTCGTGAGTCAGGAAGGTGTTTGATGTTTCCCTTCAAGGCTGGGGCCACTAATCGCCAGCATGAGAGTCCTGAGAGTTCCTTTCTTGGACACAGGACCAGCAGCGCCCATGGTGGTGGCTGCACCTCGGAGGTGGGGTCTGCTCAGAGCACCTTGGCCCTCATGGGTTGGTGTCATTTGAGCAATAATTAATTTTGGCTCTTTTTAGATGCTACAATCTGGAGGCGCTGTCACCACAGCACAGCCTGGAGCATGCTGTCCCCTGAGGAGGGCTGCAAGGAAAATGCAGGACACCCAGTTTAGCTTCGATTTCAGGTGATCAACAAACAATCTTGTAGGATAAGTATGTCCCAAGTGATGCAGAGATCACATCAAGCTAAAGTATTTGTTGTTTATATATACACAAATATATAAATTTATATATATAAATACATAAACAAATCTATAAATGTTTTGTTCATATAATTCAATAAAAATTTGTTTTGGGGATTGTTGAATACTTAATAAAAACATGGTCTTTGGAATCAAACCCACTTGAGATTGAGTTAAAGTCTCCCTACACACAACCTGTACCACTTTGAACTAATTACCTTGTTTCTAGTCCCAGCTGAAAAACGAGGCTAAAAATACCTATCCCATAAATAGTGCTGGGAGGAATACATTTGGGATAAGACATTAAAAGTTTTGGTGTCTCAGTAAAGAGGAAGTGGTCAATATAATTTGCTATTACTATTAGTGTTACTGTTAGTCACATGAAATGATTTGGAAGCTGTAAAGTCTCCTGTAAATGTTATCTATCAGCTTTACAATTTACTACCAACTAGTTAAGGGCAATCATGGGAGACTATTTTTCACTTTAAGCTTCTCTTTCCTTATTTGAAAAATGGAGCATATTGTATATGCATGCTTCTTTCAGATATATTATTCAGTTGGTATATATTTCAGCATATCACTGAATGAGGAGTCAACCTGGCTTTCCCTACTCCAGGCTCCAAGTTGGAGCCAGCTTAGCCACCGGTTACCTGATGTCGTCTAGATAAGACATATGAGTAAGCGGAAGAGAAGGTACAGGAGCCTCATGATGGAAGAGGAGCTTTCTGGATTCCGAGTCTAACGGGCAGTGTCTGATGGCACACCTGAACTGGGCAGGCGATCTGGGAAAGAGTTTGACCAACAGGTAGAGAGAAAGGACTTGTATTCCGACTGGTGGTGGTACTGTGTTCCTTCTAGTTGGACTCTTTGCAACCCCGGGGAATGTAGCCCACTAGGTTCCTCTGTTTATGGAAACTTCCAGGCAAGAGTACTGAAGTGGGTTGCCATTTCCTACTCCAGGGGATCTTGCTGATCCAGGGATCGGATCTGGGTCTCCCATGTTTCCTTACCATTGTGCCACCTGGAAAGTCCCTACTGGAGATAATCAGTTATGGCCTGGGAGTAAGTTGAGGGTGTCTCATCTGTGGACTCAGGGTCCCAGACCCAAGTGTCTCCCTTTTGTAAAGGAAGAGGTTTGCAGGAAGTCAGGGTTTCCACATTGGTTCTCACTTCTCCTTAGGGCTCTGAAGTTTGGGTTTTTTTTTTTAGAAAAATCATTAAAAATTGCGTTCTGTTAACAAATTATTCATTTATTTATTCAGCTTTTTTGCATATCTCTGCATCTGTCTCTTTATCCTTTCAGAATAAATACTGCCTCCCCCACCCCCACCACACACACCTTTCGCAATTAAAAAATAAAACAATTTTGGAAACAGAAATGATCTTCTCTCCTTTTGCACTCTCACCATAGTTTGTGCTACCATTTCCAGAGAGACTGATCCATCCTAAGCAAGCTTACCAGGCCATCTCTTGCACAGACCACAACCAGGTGAGGCTTTGTAGGCTAGAGCATTTCTTACTACAGGTATGACGTCAACATACTCTTAAGGTAAAAGCATAGAAGGGTACCAGCTGTGGGGCTTCCCAGGTGGTCCTAGTGCTAAAGAGCCCACATGCCAATGCAGGAGATGCAGCTGTGATCTCTGGGTCAGCAAGATCCCCTGGATGTCAAATAACTCACTCCACTGTTCTTGTCTGGGAAATCCCATGGCCAGAGCAGCCTGATGGGCTGTAGTCCATGGGGTTGGAAGGAGTTGCACATGACTGAAGTAACTCAGCACACACGCATACCAGGTAAATAACTGAAGTTTTTCTCAATCTCATCCTTCTCTCCATCTCAGTTTTGCTTTATAGTGTTCATATCTCTCTTTTTCTTTATATGTAAATTTCTAAAGCAAGAAGTCCTGTTTTATTATCTCACATCTTGAACAGAGCCAGGCTTAGAGCAGGTAGTTAGTCAAACGTTTGTATGAACAGGTCCTAGTATGGAAACATCAACCTATTGGTGAATGAACAAATGGATGAATGGAGGGAATCAGGGTGGGAAGGAGGGAAGGAGGAAAGGAAGGAAGGCTGGGGCATAATCCTTAGAGTTTTGAGGGTCTGGAGAGAGCCCATTAAGTTGCTTTATCCCAAAGTGTTCCTGAGCACAAGCACCCAACTCACCCATTCCCAACATAACAGGTCAAAGCTTCTCATAATCCGTCATGGTCTCCAGTCTTCACTCACCCGTCTCTCCTCCATCTTACATGAACTGTATGTTCTGACATTTTTCTCTCTGTCCTGAGGCAACTTAGCAATAAAATATTTTCACTTACTTTTTGATCAGCATTTGAATCTTTCACTAAGTAGAGATCTATTTTAGTTTAGTGACCTCAACCTAAAAATAGAATGAGTGTCTGCAGTAAGCTGTTTCAGTAAGTCTTACTTAATTCTGCAGAATATCTGTGAGGATTTTACTTCGTTGGCCCCAGCAACAGTACTTTTATAATAATAGAAAAGAAAGGATAAACTAAAAGCATAGGGTCACATTTCTCTCTTGTACTCTTCTACGGAAAGCGATCCTTTACACTGACTCCCTAAATATTAGGCATCTATTCCCACCCCTTCTTCAACCACAGATGTCTCTCTCTCTCTCCTGAATACCTTGCAGTTGATTCCTCCGCCCTTCTCAGGTGGACTGCGGCCCGTCCACTCAGGCAGAGACACCGGAGAGTCCCTGTCCATTGCCACACAATGAGGGGCTAGGTCAAAAAAGGGCAGAGGAAGGGCTGAGTGAGCTCACACAGGATGCCTTGTGATCCCTGTTGGCAGGAGTCATCCTGGGGGAGAGGGGTGGGACCAGCCAGAGTTGATGGTACCAACCCCCCTGAGAGTGATGAGAGGAAGTGGGGGCTGCAGACACTCCTTCTGAAGAGTTTTGCTGAAAAACTAAGTGCACAGAAGACTGAGCTGATGATTGCTATCATGTCAATGAAGAACTGTTTCCTTGTTTTAGGTTTTTTTTTTTTCTTAAACACTGGCTTTTGGGGGTGTTTTTTGATTGTCTCTTTTGGAACTTTTGGCCTCTTTAGCATGTGGAATCTTAGTTCCACAACCAGGGATGGAATCCAGCCCCCTGCACTGGCAGCATGAAGTCTTTAAGCACTGGACTGCCGGGTAAATCCCTGCTTTTAGTTT